GAGTGAAATCCAAAGGGACTAAAGAAAATACTGGGCATTTATTAATGGCTATTCAACCAAACTACTCTTCAAGCAACCTACACTCATTGATGTGTAGTATTTATCCAATTCAAGCTACTATGAAGACACTAAATTTATGTTGTTGCTGGCAACATGAAAATGTCTGATAAATTATTTGAAATTCGAACTGGCTGTAAGTGGTTAATTTCATGGAAAAATATGCCTTAAACGAAGAAATTCATAAACCTAGAAGTGGGATAAAACAAGTGTTGTGAAAACAGAGACGTGGCAGATCCAGATGAGTATGAAGTGGTGATTGTGTTGATGATGAACATTCTAGTAAAAACAAGCTTGTAAAGGTGTAAAATGATACTAAATGTTCCCTGTTCCTCTACTGTCCAGGTTTAAACCAGTAAGATCTATGATTTTGTAAAATGGTATCCAGACCTTCTGCTTATTTCATTTAAAACACTAGTGCTTAGTGCTGTCACCCTCAGTGAACTAGTGGTTAGTGTGCTCACCACCAGACAGTTCGTGGATTCAAACCTGGCTGTGGTCAATGGATTTTTAAGGTGATAAAAATCCATAGCACAACTTCCTTCAGAGGGAAAGGGGTGGTCACATGTCGTAGATTTATGACATGTAAAAGAACCTTACAAGCAAGCAAAATTCAGCGGCCATTTCCCACCCATGTCTCTCCTGATTCTCTACTAGATGGCTCTAGCAGACAAATCGGGATTAAGTAGAAATTGTGCAGAGGCACTACTCACAGATGCACACTTCAAAGCCTAGGAAACCTCCCACATGGGAGGAGGCCAAGGCCCAGACTCAGGCCATTGGATGGATGGATAGTGCTTGGTGCAAATTTTTTTTTTCGGGGGGGGGGGGGGGGGTATTAAATTTTAAGTAACAAGTATTGGAAATCAGCACCTTCCATGCTTCTTGCTTCGTTCATGATAGCTTTGGGCAAAGGATGTCAATTTCTTTCCTTACCTTTCTGGTTTTACAGGTCACCATGACATAACTCTTAGGACTTGAACTGGTTGTTTATAATGTCTTTCTATGGAAACAGCATCCATTTGATGATGACATTCTCTTGGGTTTTGGCACCATGTAGACTCATCAGCAGATGCCAGCATTTTGGAGAAATGTGCTGCCTCATCTTCAGCTTCAGATGGAGACAACATGTTTCTCTGAAACTTTGGCATCTACTAGTAAGTCTACAGAGAAACATTGGCATCAACTGATGAGACTACATGGTGCTAAAACTCAGGTCATCATCATCATCACCACTGTGAAAACCTCAAACATCCATGTTACAATTTTCTATATTGTCTTTTCAGTTTTATCTTGGTCAATATTTTCTCCAGCTCTGGTTGCCCAGCACGCAGAAATTTGATATATATTCCTTGACATTTTCCTTCATCCTGTATTGTTGACCAAAACACAATATTTTGAAAATGCTCTGGTTCTGTCATCAAGCAAAGGTGTAAGATCTAATGTGTTTGGTTAATTGCAAGGAGCTAGTTCCAATTCCCAGACAAAGAACAATAGTTCTAGTCAAGGTAAATAAACTGCAAAAAGCAAGATCAATTCTAACAAATAAGAAAAGAAATGACCTAAAAATTATAGTTCAATCTTATGGCTAGGTGATATCAACATTACTACACTACTGCATTACAACAAACAATGAAGCAAAACTATAAAATAGTTAAGACCAGAACAAAAAATTGTGAAAAAATTTCAAGAAAGAACTATGAAGAAAAACAATCACACAATAAATTATTACAATATGATAAGATATCAATGAAATAGAATTCATTTAGTGGACCAATGTGAACATTAGTTCAAAAAATCTCCTAAACTTACATAATCTTTGCATGGTATTACTTATTTCCACTTTCATAGTGAATGAAGAATGTTTTTTTTTTTTCAAAAAGGACCATCATCAGTTTATACTGATTACGAAGTTGTGGACAACCTACACAGGGTAGCCCTCCAGCTTGTATGTTGGTGAGGCACAAACAACACTTCACCATAAAATACCAGCATCTTATGAAATGTGATGCTGGGCTTCAGACTTATATGGATTCTTTGGAGAAATAGACATGAAATTTGGAACTTGGAATGGTAGGAGTCTGTCTGTGTATGTCAGGTTTACTGAAAACAGTAAAAAAGTAAACGTAAAGTTTGTCCCACTATATGCCATGTAGGCGTTTGGGGTGAGTGGAGGTTATAGCTCCTCTCTTCCTTGACCTCGGCACTAGATGGGGGTGAGTGGTCAGCACCCCAGAGCCGGTCTGGACGCAGAGGCTAGAGGAAAAATCCTCTGCCCCCATCAGGGATCGAACCCCGGTCGTCCAGCCCATAGCTAGTCACTATACTGACTGAGCTATCCCGGCTCATACTGAAAACAGTAGCAAGAGTAATGACAAAGTATATCCTGACTTCAAAGCCAGGCGAGCACATGATGAATTTCCTCAATTTAGTTTTCTCTCCAGAATTAATTTGGAATAGAAAAAATGTGTCTTCTTCCAAGGATCAGACCCTTGGAACTTGAATCTACAGGGGTTCATTTGTGAACAGTAGTGGTCAGTTTAAATTCTTCACTGTCAAATGGTTAGGCCCCAACTTGGAAGTTAATAATCATGTTTTGCCCACTCAAATCCTAGGCCAATACCATTGTCTTCATCACAACATTGGTTACAACTTGGTATCTTGCAGCCAAATGTTTTTAATGTGAACTGACCAATAGAATTTGGTGCCTTTCAGAGTCACTTAGATTTCTCCAGCAAATGAAAAATGGCATGTCAACCCCTATAAGGTGCAAAGATTCAAACTTGTGCATAAAAGGAGGAGGAATCTAGTACTTAAAATATAGGAGTATAAATGCCACACTCAAGAGATTATGTTCAGGTGAAAAGATGTGCTGGCAATGCATTTTACTTATTTCCAAATTTTGTTAAAATTATAACAGTAACTATAAGCAATCTATAAGTATTTCAATATTGAAAGTCTTATCATTCACTGATATTTCCGAAGGTGTTAAATCATCTGTGGTTGTATAACAAAGGAACAAATGTTGAAACAAAATCAAGTTGTTTCCACATATATAAATATATCAGTATGTCTTTAGAAGTGTTCCTGTGTAACATTGATGCTGCAATAAATTGCATTAATTTAATTTCTTCCTACCAATGTACCATCTGTTGTATGTCATGTTAAGTCAGAGAAATCACCTACACTGTTCAATTGTCCTCATTACCTGTGGCCTGTATGTCCCTAGGAGCAGATCTGACTGCCCAACTGAAAACCCAGGGAAATGTGGAGTTAGCAGCTGGCAGCAACTAAAGTGACCACTTAGATGCAATGATAACTGGGTTAAAACAAAAATTTTATCTCGCCAAAAAATTCAAAATAAACTTGTACTTCTGATGGAAAGAGAGACTGCTCACACCTTCATAGGTATGCCATGACCATAAAGTATACTTTTGTGTGATTTTTTGGAGGGGCTGATTGTGATATTAATCAGCACTTGTTTTGTGGTTGCCAGAGTTAAGGAGAGACTGTTGGTAATGCAGAATTTTGAATGGAGAGATTTAATGTAAAGAAGCAAACAGATTTCAGCTTTGGAAAACTTGGATTATAAAGTGGAATCAATAGAATTTGGGGAACTATTAGAGATAACATCAACACTTAGGCAAAATGTACACTACATTAGTGAAGGTCAACCACCGACATGCTGAAAGCATTGTTAGGCATGCAATATTCTGATAAAGAACTAATTTAGTAATAAAATATTAACTTATGTATTAATATAAGCAGATGGGAAATTATATTTATGTTTGTGTATCTGGTAACTACTGTACAAATTCCTAAAAGCTATCACTACCTTGATAACAATCACACAGCTGCACAACAGACTGAAAGTAAGGAGTGATACCACCTACAAGTTTGTTTTTGTCACAGTATAACTAGCCAAGCTCCTTGCTGATTTCATACTGCAGACCAGGTTCAAATCCCAGTGGGATGTACCACAGGAAGTCAGCTTACATGCCCATTTGTATCCATAGCCAGTCACAGATGTTGATTTTCAAGTCCCAGGCTTGGTTTGAAAAGGGTAAAAAAATATAATTCATATCAATTTACTGCTGTACCCACATGACAGAGGTCTGTACTGTTTCATGTTATGAAGTAAGAGTTAATCCCTTGAAAGACAAGTGACAGGACTATTAATAGGGAAATGCCACTTAAGGGGAACACCTCTTCAAATTGGGGAAAGTTAATAACAACATAATTAGTAGGAGATGCCACCATGAAACAGAAATGATATTGCATATGTGATTGTGAGGCATTGGCTGAATTAATATTTCATCACATGGGCAGGTATTTCTTGAGACCAGGTTACTATAATGAGATTTTGTAGATGATTTTGTATAATGAGATGCTGTAGTGGGACCCAATATGGTTCCTCTGTTCATATCTGACCTGGCAGCTAAATACAACTTATGGAATTTGAGGACCAATCATCATTCAGAATTAAAAAATTTGTAA